GACCTGATCCCGTATGTTCGCATCGATTTTTGATGTGGGATGGTGCAGTCGTCAACCACATGCGACTATATAATCAGTTGTTGTAAACTTCCTCATTGGAAGTCACGAAAAAGCGGTGGGTTTTTCGAGAAGTTGTTGATCATGTAATTACCAAAGAGTCTTTCGTCTTTTTGTAAGTGTTATTGNGATTGCATGAGTTCAGGTACGATATACCTGATCTCTTGTAATAATTGCGGAAATGAATATATTGGCGAAACGGGCAGACCTTTGTGTATCCGTATAAAAGAACACCTAGATGGCAAACGAAAACTAAGACGAAGCACCCCACTAGGCACGCATAGGATACAAAAGCATAGTGGAGACGATTTTGAAGTAAAAGTCAATATCCTTGCACAGGAGACTAAAACACCAGCGCGAAAACTCCTTGAGGCTTTTTGGATAAATGCCAAAAACCCTACAATGAATAGCAGGGATGAATGCCCGGAGGTCATACGCGACCTGATCCCGTATGTTCGCATCGATTTTTGATGTGGGATGGTGCAGTCGTCAACCACATGCGACTATATAATCAGTTGTTGTAAACTTCCTCATTGGAAGTCACGAAAAAGCGGTGGGTTTTTCGAGAAGTTGTTGATCATGTAATTACCAAAGAGTCTTTCGTCTTTTTGTAAGTGTTATTGAAGCAATATTTCGAAACCGACTTTCCCTGAACCTCGGTGTCACTAATCAATATGTATTCTTTCTTTGATGAGCTTACACGAGGTTGACAATGATGTTTATTTTCGGCTAACGTTTCGACGTCTTCGTTTTCGTCTTCGATGTCCCCTTTTTAAAAGGGCATCACTGAGTAGGGATGCCTCATTCGAGGAGATGGCTCACTGAAGAAGACCTGACTCGACACCAAGGCGAAGCTGCCACGTCGAGGCGAACAACAATCATGGACCATCGACTCGGATCATCGGCTCTGAGGAAGACGAAGACGTCGAAACGTTAGCCGAAAATAAACATCATTATCAACCTCGTCTAAGCTCATCAAAGAAAGAATACATATTGTTATTGAAGCGTTTGGCCTAGTAGATTGTATATCAGCATACCCTTCCAGGCTCTGAAGAAAGCGATACTGCCGAAACGTCAGCTAGCGTTGTATTGTATTGTTTTTTTCTATGGAAGTAAATGTATGCTGTTTAAAACCTCGCGATTGCTGAGCAAGAAAACGACACATTCATATTCCAATGCCGAGGTTAAGAGAAAGTCGATCCTGGGCACTCGACGTTCTTCAATCTCTGAAGGATGTATGCATGCGTTCGATTTCTTCAAGCGTCGTTAAAGGAGGTTGAATGCATATCTAGCCCATCCCTGACTTGCGGTGGCTTGTGGACGTAGCAAGTCAGTGCTACTACCTTCTAGGATAGGTCTGGTAGCAATTTGCCCACCATGGAGGGATGGAAGGCTTGGTGAGACTGCGGTGTGGGACAGAGCCCATGTGTATTGCAGAGCAACTGAGGTAATAACTATCGTAAATCAATAAATTTAATAACCAGCGCTGGCGATAAAGCAGGCAATCAAATCCATATGGCTCGGCTGGTTTTTGCTTCCCTAGTCTGCCATTTTAGCATGGTGTACGACTCCTCTTGGAGATCGGATTGCGTTATTCAAGAATGATCACGCAAATGAGAATTTGGGAACGGTTTGACTCAGCAATTCTCTGATATCTACTTGATGTCTTAAACGATATATCTCCACAAATCTTTATGTGCTTTTTTGCGACTGGACGGATGGACAAGCATCCTTGGAATCCCAAGATAGCTATAAAAATGCTGTCTTGTTGTCACGGCTCTCAGTAATCGGAATGAGGTGTACCGCTATTCAACAAGCTTCTGCCGCTATTCCGCTCAGAAAGGATAGGATTCCTAATTAAGATTTGTTTTTCCGAAGGTCGACTTTCTGTTAACCTTGGCAGTGTTCAGTAACTTACTATCCTTACACAAGAATCTAAAACACCAGTTTGCAAAACTTTTGAAGCGTCCTATCATGTCTGACCTAGCCCATACCTTGGGGTGATTTTTGACACTCTGTGCGGTTGGTCTCTACTAAATAAATGGAGGGTTTGCAAAGAACAAAACGATGACTTTAACCTTTTGTTCACTGCCGATTACTTTTCATGGCAGGGTATTATGTGAAATACAACCGCAATAATGCAGAGATATTTGCAAAACTCGGTCCCCAGGCCAGTTTCGAAACCGCGATTATCCTTTCCGGGCTGCCTGGAGCTTCGAGTGCTGCGAAAATGGTGAATGTTTGAAAGAAACTGTTTACTATGCGAATTAAATTTATTCATTTTTATCTGTTGAGGCTGCGAAAGTGTTTGACTGGACAGATTGGTCGTTTATTTGACCCTTTCAGGCTTTCAGCAAGGTGAAACCGCGGAAACGTCAGCCACAAAAAATACTTGTGGCAATTTATATGAACTCATGAATGAAATAAGACAATTATTATTTGTTCCAAAGTCACATAAAAGCAGGTATTGGCATTATTGGCCCGCAATGTGCCAGATAATACTGGCCCCGACACTCCAGAGCCGTTTTTCCTCGTGATTTGTTTCTTCGTTGTCACATTAAGTCAAATTGTTTGGAGTACAGCACCGTATAGCACCGAGCGGCTTGGAGCGGCTTGGGGAGCTTTCAAGAGCATCGAGGATGTAGTGAAGAGACCAAGGAACACCCGACTCCATGCCAACCTCTTCGACTCAGTGGTACTTCCTGCCCTAACGTATGCGTCAGAAACTTGGTCTCTTCGTAAGCAGGATGAAAGATCACTCAGCGCTATCGACCGCGTCGTCGAAAGGACGGTGCCAGGAGTATCCCGTTTCACACAAGTAAGGGAAGGGACCCAAAGCTCCGACCTGCGTCAACGATCAAAAATCAAAGATACCGTTCTGTACGCTAAACAGTCGAAGATAAGGTGGGCCGGACACGTAACGCATATGAATGACAACCGATGGAGAAGAACCGTTAGTGACTGGATTTCTCGGGATGTCAAACGTACTGCAAGAAGACCACCGACCCGATGGTCAGACTTCCTCACGAAGAGCCTAGAAGAAAGGTATGATGGTCGACGAGTCCCTGGAGCGAGCAGAACCCACTGGGCTACTCTTGCACGAGTCAGGGAAAAATGGAAGATTTACTGGTTCCCACTCGAGTCACTCGACGATCAACGGGACTACAGGTCACACAGGTGATTCCATCGTTGCAATCGATCTTAATTTAACCAGTGATACCTAGATATATGAAAAATAAGGAACCTGAAATGAGCTTCGAACCCACATTTACCCTTTCCGGGGTCCACGTGTTACCCACTGCCGCATTAAGGCCTTAGACCCTTTCTTTGTTTCTCACTTAGCCGGTTTTAGTCCTAACGGTACTATCAGAAATTACCCGTCCACAGAAATAATCTGGTGATCATAATTCGTCATTAACCCTATTCGAGCTGAAAGCGCTGTCGACATCACGTTTTAACTTTACTGCTTTACGACGTACTGTTCACAAGCAATCAAAATCACCTTCAGCTTAATCACCTGCGTTCGATGACTTGTGCTCTCTAGGTCATTCGCGTTGACAGATGGTTGCTGACGGCACCGTTAGGGTAAAAAAAAAACTAGCTAAGAGAAAAGGAAAGTACTGGGTAACATGTTAGCACCCGGATAGGGCAATTGTATTAGTTAATCACTGGATCTCGAAGTAGAATGCTCGGCTTTGTGCGAATTTATCACGCGGGACTATTTAATGTTGCCACAGAGCACAATCTCTGGCTCGGGTGATAAATGTCTGTAGAAATAATAGAGATAGAATATGAACAGTCTGACGATATCCAGAAGGGCAAGGAATACTAGTTGAGCGAAGCAACTAAGCGAACGAGCAGGGCGAAACTGGGCGGAAAACAGTGAAAACCAAGTGGGATGACTTAGAATGCTCCTTATATTCCTTCTGTAATGGGCGGGGTTTTGACAGAAGGAACCAGAGATAATGCTGAGATAGAGATTTTAGAAAGCTTCTCAGTTAGTATAATCTGATAGAGCTACTTCCACAGAAGGTTTTGTGAAGACTATACCACAGCTTATATTGAAAGTGCATGTGAAAGCGCGCAGCTGCTCGTACGGAAGGTTGATCTGAGAGCGACAAAAAGGCCGATACAAATAGTTCATTGGAAAGGCAGGTGCTGTATAGCGCATGAAACTGACAGCTGCTCATTCAGTGCCCGAACTGCCGGACAGAAAGCAGGCCTTGCGAAAAAGTCACAGAATCCTTTTCCAGTCAGCTGCGAGGCAGGTGCATGAGGTGGTCGCTAAGAGACAGTTTGCAGAAAGTGCAGCGGTAGGGATAAATGTAAGACAATTACCAGCAAACAGTTAACGTAGGAGACATACAAAATATAGAAAATAGGAAGTATTCGGGGTAATCACGAGTTCGTATCCTAGGTTGCGAGTTATCTCGGTACTATTGCGCTTGTGTTTCGTGTAATACCCTGCCCTAAAAGAATTACAAACAGTAAATGAAAGTTAAAGAGTTCCAATTTAATTTTATTTTTTATTTTCAATAGATTTTTCAGAATAATCAGACTGTTGCAGGATACACTTTCACCATAATAGAAATAATTTCGGTTAGTCGATCAGTGAACGTCCCGAATCCTAGGGAACCGCCGACTCAGCTCCCGTCAGTTCTGCGTAGATAGAATCCTGTAGAAAAGAGGAATGATAGGTGATCGTAGCTACTTCATTCGTTAGGTGGTCCACTCTATTGATGAAACGACCACAAAAAGTCATATCGGAAGAAGAAATAACTTCTGCGGACAATGACCTCGAATCATTGCCGCTTTGAAGAAGGCGAAACCACCGAACCATTTGCCATACCTGAAATTTGTAAAGAACTCGTATATTTCATCTTCTTTATTAAATATCGTAGGATTTTGGTCGAGTTAATTTTCCCTGAAATCTTGGAGATGGCCAGGCTACGGCATTCCCACGTGGACTATAGAAGAACGTTGGGACGGTGATCGAGCTAGCGGCTTTGCTTCCTATTACCACTAATCTTGTCGGTAAAGCAAGGCACTGACAAGCCTTTTTTTGCGGTAGGAGAGTACATTATAGGATAAACAGATACCCCAAATTGAACGCTTTTTCGGCGAGAAGAGGAGCTTGTTGGAGTAAAAGGAAATGCTTCCATTGTGCACCAATCAAGTAGAGGAACTAACTCCATCGAAGATACATAGAATTTCCATAAGAGATCGGAAGTAACCGTGAAACAGATGACGAGCGGAAATTTCGAGTTCTAGACATTTTTAAATCTAAAATACTACAGATACAGGCGTCATTTTCAGGTAATACTCTTTTGCGTTAGGGGCACGTGTGACGCAGTGGTCGGAGGCGCTCTGCAACACGCATGTGGAATCGATCGATCGCGCCCATAGCCCACCAATCCTCCCATCCCTCCGAGGTCGGCAAATTGGCACCGGAGTTGTCTGGAAGGATAACAGCACTGGCTCGATACATCATTAGGCCACCGCGAGTCATTGTAAAGGCCAAATACGCATTCAATAGCCTCCAAACGATGCTTAATGTTGTCGAATGCACAGCGCATCCCTCAGTGATTGATCAACGCCGAGAGCTTATCTTTTACCCTTTGTTTACTCTTTCGCAATATGTTGTACTCAGTCAGAACAGCGGATAGCTCTGAGCTAATGGGAATGTTTGTTGATGGACACTGAGTGCTCGCTGCTAAGAATAAACTCGAAATTTATAGGCGCTAATGCTGTAGTATGAGATTTTTGCGAAGGTTTACTACTAAAACCGCTTGACTTTCTCCAAAGTCATTACAATGTTGGTCGTTTTCGATAGAAAGACCTAAGAGACATCGATATGATAGCATCTTGATCCAGACAACAGCTTTTGCTGTGGTGATATTCAACCTATTTGCTTGGCATACATGGGCTTCCAAGCCTCAAACCGGAGTTAGCGCAACTTTCCCGAGCATACTACGTTCATTCGTTAACCTCCGAACATCCATTGTTTCAAGAACAGCTTTTGAACAGTGTAGCAAAAGCAGGTGTAGTCGTTGTAAGAATGATGCTTTGATTTGGATAACTAATTTGCTATAGTAGCCACGTCTTAACGATGCCAATTTTTTCGTCACATACACTGTGAATTTACGTCAATTCACGTCGGCCAGTCTATCTCGATACCCATGAGTGGGCATCAACTCACGTCAGAGTCTGACTATTAGTGAGAACAACAGCGACCATGACGTCATTTTGAAATAATTCCTTATAAGTTTATTAAAGCATCGTCGTTATCGAGAAGGTAAACCCCTGTATTTGAGTGGGGAAAGAACTTTAGTGTAAAGCGGAATTGCCGTAACATTCTCTTTATGCTTTTACAAGAACCACTCAGTTGCTATAGAATTTCTTGAAAACATGTCTTGTAGTTGGACAGCCAACAGGAAGGGTACTTATTTGGATACTTGGATGGCCCATCTTCGCTAGTTGTGAGGACCCAAGCATAAGTTCCATTTTTTCGGAGTTTCGCCGGTTTAGCCATTGTGGTTCTCTGGAGTCCCAAAGTCAGCTTAGCCAAAGTCTATCCCAACACGTAGGTTACGCTGCACAAGGAACGTAAAAAGACTTAGGCACCTTATTACAAATGTTGGAGGTCTCCACAATTTCTTGGAAACATTACAAATTTCGTTATACCTAGAGACTTTAGTGTCGACCGGCTTCAATCCTTTTTGTTCGGTTTCGCCTCGGCATTTGGCACCAAACATGAATCCCAGCGACGTTATCGGGGCAGACAGCCCAATCCAAAAGGCACAAGGATTAATCCCTTCGAATCATGATCTAAAGAGTACAATAAGGCCTACTCTTAGAAGGAAAGTTCCCCCTGGTATCCCATCTAGGTAGAACAGATTTACGGCACAACACACCAAATAACAGCTGGAAAGTCGTAATTTTAGCGCACTTTCATAGTGTTGTTTCACAAAAATATCCGTTCAATGTGTAAAGGTCGCTTCATAAATTACATATTCCGTGTTTTACCAAATTCTAGCGTCAAACAAATTTTTCCAGAGTTTCAGTAGCTCTACTTCCTGTTTATCAAATAATACCAGTTAAACTTTACTAGGGAATAGGGCAAGTTACAGCCAAAGTCAGTTAGTCGTTAGTTAGTTAAGTTAGTCAAATTCTTATTGCTGTAGCCTCGTTTTAGGTGGAAATGAGGCTTATGTACGTAAATCGACAAGGACAGATTTCTCTACCCATAAGTCGTTTGAAGTCTGATGTGGTAAGTTTTAACCGCATGTGCTTAGTAGTGATGTCATAGCAGTTGTTGTTTTTCTTCCTTTTTCATAACCAGTACCCTCCAAACTAAATGTAAACTCCTTCTTTACGATTTTTGTTGAGTGTATGCTCTATTTCCTCCCAACGGTTTACCGCCTCATCGTGGGTCGCAAGTGTTCCTGGATGTTGGGCTGCAAGGTACAACGGAGGAACAATCCCCAGGCTAGGTCTCCCAAGCTGAGAAGTCCGGCGTTTCCATCATGAAGCCAAGCTAAGAGAAAAGCAACAGCAGGATCCACCACGGCCCTGGTACCACACTAGTCGCATGGTGCTAAATCCCCCTCTAATCCACAAAGGCAGCGACTGCCTGGTGTGATGACGACCTGGGGCAGACTTTGACTAGGTTTACCTTGAGACTCCAGGGAACCACAATGCCTAAACCAGCAAAACTCCGGAAAATGGAGAATGTGCTGGGGCCCACACAACCAGTGAAGACGGGCCATCCAAGTATTCAAGTAATACCCTCTAAATAAGGTCTAAACTGCTTGTTAACGATTTTTGTTGAGTGTATTCTTTATTTTACCAGGGTGATTTGCTCCCCATACATGCTTACTTTTCAGTGATAGATATCTAAGTGTATAATTGCTTTTCAACGGAGTTCTTTTTCTTTCTGTCTTTAAGATGTCTCTTTAAGTGTCTAAGGATGTCAAGTCATTTGGTTGTAAATGAGCTAGGATTGATCACTAGATATCGCGATTTTTTCAGAAAATCAGTTTTCAAATTGCTTTAGGACCACTTTCTTCCTGGTCCATCTCTACATAAGATTGCGAAGGCGAAAGTGGTAACAAATGGACACAAAAAACCGCTTGTGAGCCTCGTACCGCCGGCTCAACGAAATCGATGGCACTGCGGGTAAAGTTTTTTTTTCTTTGCTTCCTTTTTAAGCTCTGTTTAGTGCTGTGATACTTGCCAAACTCCTGACCGCAGGTGTTTGCAGTGGGGACTAACGCGTTCACCACCACACCATGCGAGTCCTCTCTCTCAGCTAGTTTTCTATCTTCTACTTCCACCGTATTTAATACTGTATTTAATAAGGCAACTTTTAGTATTTGCGGGAAAAGTTTGTCATCCAAACGATCATACGACGAGCATATGAACATTCACAATGATGCCAGACCATTCGCGTGCGACCACTGTAATTATGCTGCAGGTAAGCTCGTTTTAGACTTTGTGAGCTATATGAGCTTCCCTAAAAAGGTGAGCATGATGGTTTCACTGCATCCAAATTTGAGAGCTCTTTTTCGCTTTCCCATTTCCATTGCTTGGTAGACACTATTTGACGAAACGAGCTCTTTTAAAGGCTTTGAACAGACAACTAGCTAAACATTTTGTGTTCCGAATGAGTTTTTAAATGTATGCTTACCAATGATTAGTAGTACCTAATAAAAGGACTAATTGGCCTTACGTCCACCTGGGGCCCGTGTAGCACAGTGGTCGGATGCGCCATGGGATCGATCCCCGCTCGGTAGATTGGTGCCAAACTTGTCTGGGAGGATAGCAGCACTGGTTCGATACATCAGTAGACCACCGAGAGTCATTCCAAAGGCCAAATTTGCATCCAGTCACCTCCAACGATGCTTAATGAAGTCGAATCCGTGGCACATCCCTCAGGGATTGATCAACGCCGAGAGCTTTTAGTTTTTATATTCATCCAGAAAAAATCATTGTTCTTAAGTCTAATTTTAAGTCTTGCTAAGGTTTCTACTCAAATCCCTTTTCTCAGTTGCATTTGCGAGCCCGATGTGCCATCAAGTATTTCTTTTTACAAATTGTTGCTCTTTCACTTAACACTTTTATGTCGAGAATATTGCTCTGTAGAAAAGGTTAGAGCAGCATCCCAAAGGTTTCCTGTCGTTCATGGTTTAATCCAATTCACCTTTCCGCAATTTCTGAGGCTTAGTTAGGAAACGAATGTCGTAAACGAGATTAATCGATCTTAAGTAAATGTTTCTTCGCTTGTTTTCACGCTTTAAAGTGTAGTTCTTTTTTATTTTCTGGTTATATTCCTTTAGTTGGCTTCCATTCCTTCGTTTATAGTGACGTTTTCCGTGCTCAGCGGTCGTTCAGTGATTCGGCTGATAGCATTATTATTCAAAAAAATGGTTTCACATTAAGTACCTAGTTAGCCTTTTATTTGCTGCCTATTGTAATTTCTCATGGCAGGATGTTTTATGAAATGCAGCCAAAATGGTGCTGAGCTATTCGCAACAGCTGGACCTCAGGCCAGATAAAGGAACCGCGATTATCCTTCTCGGGGGCTCGCGGTACACACCACATCAATGAGACCCTTGCTTTGTCTTTCTCTCGGCTAGTTTTCTACCTAACGCCGTCATAAGTAATTGCCCATCAACCCATTGATCTAAGAGCCAGTATTTAAGTTGCTGTAGGTAGCATTAATTGTTATGCTTGTATTTAAGTATGGTGTTTTTAGCGAGCCAGATGACATTACGACGTCACAAGTTACGTAGTCACACGGCAAGGCGTGACTGGGGTTACAAATGCCCGTATTGCTACGAGTCATATATGGAGCCAGCCAGTTATCAGCAGCATGTGCAGTAGGTTGTTGCTGTTGTTTTTTAAGAATACTTCTTAAATTAAAGAGGTACCGAATCACTGCGTTGATTGATGAGTTCTTAGCTTTAACATAATTTCCAATCACTTTGTTTTCTTCAGGTAATTTATCTAAAGTTCACAACTCTTTGTACAAAGTTCCTTCACTATGTCCTTTATGAATCGTCGGTTCTGCGCATCTGTAGACCTATATATGTCTGAGGCATGTGGCTCAGTGCTCGGAGGCGCCCTGCAATACATATGGGTTTGGTCCCATACCACAGACTCACTAAGCCTTCCATTCCTCTGGAAGAGAGAAATTGGTACCATGGTACCAGATCTGTTCGGAAGGATAGTATCACTGACTCTCTACTTTAGTAGGCCACTACGACCACTGTGAAGACAAGACTCCTCCAGCGATGCTTAATGAAGTCGGATGCTTCGTGCATCCCTCAGGGACTGATCAACGTCGGGTGCTTTTCCCTTCTTTATACATGTGATTTGTTAAAAGGAACATTTAAGTAACTTGTTACTAAATAGTTTTATATTCCTATAGGCAGGCTATGCAGAAAGCTTCCGTGGTGTAACTTTCTTTATCACATTTTCCCTTTTCCAACTGAACAGCTTTTTTGTGCTTTTTCATGTTTTTTTATTCCATATTATTTATGAGTTCAGTTCAGATCCCGACATTTTGGAAGGTCGGCCACATTTGGTTGTCCATACACTCAGTGCAACTTCCACTCTAAATGTTTTCGACATTTTCGCGAACATTTGGCCAAGCACAACAATTATGATTGGTCAGTTCCGATTTTGACACGAAATTGTGAACTGAAAGAGTGCTTCAACAGAAGTTACAAAAACGGAAAGGACCATAAATCTGGATACTTTTGAGTTCATGTTGGTTATTAATGTATTTTTTGAAATCGCATTTAATCTTTTAGCTATGTTGGCCAATCAGATCGCATCCCATTTTCCCTTCCTGACGAAGAGCTGAATAAGTTTTTGGTGGATGATGAATATGGTACTTCAATGACATAGCCGGTTTTTTATAGTTTATACATAGTTTTATTTGCTGAAAATTTTGCCTTTCTCTTAGTTTTGGTTCACCTTTTACTACATGTGCGCTATCCAGTAAAGTATTGCGTCTGAAGAACGTTTTATAAGAAATTTTCTTCTTGCAGGATATGGTGATCGATTGAATGGACCAATGTGTAGAGTGCAGTTCGTCAAAAGACGTTCTTATAACACAGTTACGATGGCAGGTGCTCCTATATTACCCATAAAAGTCGTTGACTCTCGAGATTCTCCCCCACATTTGTGTGCTGAGGTTCCTGATGAGGATTTTATGAAGGAGCCTATAAAGCTTGGCCCGAAATTTCTGGTTGCTAGTCAACGACGTTTTGTTTACGAAGTGAGTTCCAATCTTTTCACCTGAAGACTTCTAGTACTATATTATGGAGGAAGTGGGTGCATTTTTTTTCTCTGCTCTTTTTAAGCCTAGTTATTTTCTCTGCCTTCTAGCTCTTCATTACGCATGTTCTTTAAAATGCTGGCTTTTATTTAACCTACAATAACATGGCACAGATTATGCACTTAGCAATTTTTTGGCTTTTATAGTGGTCCTTACTCTCTTGTCTATTTCTTCTGCAAACTAGAGGAGTTTTATGGTTTAAATTTAAAGCATGCTGCTATTCGAAGACGTGGCATAATTTACAGGGTAACCTGTATTTGTTCTAAAAGTGAATTTTTAAATATGGAGCTTCGCTTGCCTTCTAATTGAAGATTTAGGAGCCTGAATACTCTATTGAACCGCTAAAGGTGGAGGGCACAGCTGGAGAGTTATATGCACCTGATACTGATTGGATTGAAGGTGAAATAGAGGTATGTGGAAAATTTTGATTACTATTGATTTTATTTTGAACTAATGTTGAAGATGAGATAGAGACATTTGGAAAAGTTTGGTTATTACTCGTCTAATTGCGAATTAGTCTTCCCAAGGGTTTACTGCTTCATCGTAGGTGGGAGGTGTTCCAGGATGCAGCGTTGCAATGTACTGCGGGGATTCATCCTCCCAGTAGGGTCTGCCAAGCTGAGGAGTCCGGCGTTTCCATCAGGAAGCCCAGCTAAGAGTAAACCAGTAGGAAGACGTGACATCCAAGTGTCTATGTAGGAAACTGTTATGAACTAGTACCAAACCTCTAATATTCATTGGGTAGATATGATTCAAAAGAGATAAACGTTGCTTTGTATCTTACTATTGTTGTAAACCTTGGTACCAATCTTATTGTATTACTATTTTACGTTTTATGTTTTATACATTTGAAATAAAATAAGTATGTTCGAGTATTTTTCTATTCCACTATGATACTAAACTAATTGCGATAGATTCTTCAGGTTCCACTCAGTGAGATACCTCTCCTTCCAGATGGACAGATGGACATAGAATTGGACTAGATATATGTTGTTTGATGGAACTATTGATACTCCACTTATAAGGTGTAAGTGTACTGTCGGTAATGGTATCGGATGGTATGTCGAGCCATCTTTAGATTAAGTCATTCCTATGCTTGCACGGTTTTCGGCAAATTATACTCGTCTCTCTTGCCGTATAGTCTTTCTTTGCAGGAGTTCTTCATTGAAATGCACATGATTCGGTATCTTTTCATCTTACTTTCTCTATCATCTATGATTTGGTTAGAAACAATTTCATTGGAACTAGGACAACTTAGTATAACCTTTTTCCTTTGGTGGGGTTTATGGTACAAAACTAGTTTTAATTCACACTTAGTGATTTGTTGAATAGGTATCTCCTTCAGAAGATAAAAAAAAACTTCAAGGAACTTTAAACATGCTACAATTTGGGGAACTTTCAGCATGTTCCGATGCCCACTTTGAGGCTTTCCATCTGGAGCTTCTCCAGTCTTATGCTTAATTGCTGATCCTTTTGAGACATTTTATTTTATAATGTTATTCTTTATGTCTAGTTTTACACTCTTGGTCATGTTTTGGTGTGGGCTCCTTTTCTAAGTAGGGTTTAAATCACAATTGTGATGTTTGAATGCTCTCATACCTTTAGGTTGTGTTTTTTCTCCATACACATGTGATTCATATAGGTTGTATTTCATTCACTAAATGAATATTTTATCCTATTTTCTTGGAAGGCTTGCACTTCGTGGTAGCGGACTTTTCAACTCCGTCATCTTCTTCAGTTGATGAAATCTTACCATTCGTTCTCTTCATATTTCTAAAAGTATAATTCAAGCTTCATTTTTGATGTAAAACGTTAGCGAAGCAGGTGGAAGAACATTTAACTGACACGGGTGATTGTGAGTTTACATTACAGTCTTTAGATATTTTTCTCCGATAATTTTTTGGCTTTTTTCTTCCTAAACGGTTGGTTCTACCCTCTAGTTTTAGATACGGGTTTCCTTCAGTGGTCCGACTGTATGTGATGGACATGGGGGGTTTTTCCCCAGCATGCGACGTGAGTTGATCTTCGTATCTTTGTTTTTGTTACAGTGAAGTAATGTGAAGAGAGGAATTGACAGAGTTTAGGATCCGAGGATCCAAATGAGTGAGGGCTTGAGTTTCCTTGCACTCATCCATTGAAATAGTTCTGTCGTAATGTGGTAGCTAATAAATTCCAATTGTTCTACTATCATGCCTATTTTTTAGGCATCCACTTTATTTTTATAATTTGGAATTTCCGACATTGCAATGTTTCCAGTTGCGAGTAGCCGTCGACGTTAGCGAAGAAGAGTCATGTCCAAATGTCCGGTCATCTTCGCCTCAAAGAGCTGTTACTGCTGAAGTCTCCACTGGAGAACTACAGGCTTGGCAAAGAGACTCCTCCAACCAGCTGGTTAATCGCTATTTTTTTTCTTTTTTGAGGATTAATCTAAGTCGTTTAAGTCCACGAATTCCGGTCAATAGCAGTTGCGGGTAGATTTTGATGTTACTCTGTTAAAACTGTCGAAATTTTGAGAATAAGGTACTAGAGTATGTGTATGGTACTAATCACATTCTCAAATTACAGTAATTTTAGCGATGCTTTGTTTTTTTACGCAAATCTTTTGTAGTTTGAGGTAGAAAATGGAACAGTGATGTCTAGTCTTTCGTAATTTAGTGGGCTGGTCCATTCTTCCGTTTCTTCTTGAGCTTTTAATAAATAATCAAATTTAAAACGTTGTGAGGTACTACCACGTCATAAGATGCTACAGAACTTGCAATAAAATTGCGTATAATGTTTTAAATAATAGAAGCTATCCGTCGGTGGCGAAGATTCACCCGAAGAAGATGATCTCAGCAATCTCAGGGAAAGTCTTCAAATGTGGCACCTACATGAACCTGACTCGGAACAGGTGAGTAGTTTCTTGCATATTTCAGTTGGAAACAACGTTCTCAAAACAAACATAGTAGTGGCAAAACCCAAGTTCACTTTTAGGAGACTAATTTCCCGGTAGTCAAGGTCACACCGATCTAGAGAACCCAATTTATAGTCGCTGCTTTCTAAACTCAGCAAAAGAGGCTTTTACACATTTAAACTGGACCGAAATTTTCTATGTTGCAACTTTGCTTCTGTCACCCTATCGGTCAATATTGGAACAAGTCCTATCCTGGTCACGTTTCTAAATGGATCGTTGAATATTGATTATCTCCAGTATTTGGGTAACCCTGCATGGTTTTGCGGTCTTGTCTTTGTACATAATAATGTTCACGCTGCTCTGGGATCATAAGTGGTGAACCACAGAAGGATATTTTTTATAATCTAGAAATTTAAGTTCTTCATGTATCTAACTACTGCATTTTTTTGGATTTTTTCTTTTTTGGTGGTTCTAACGAATGTTCGTAAGCACATGGATGGAGGTAGCTATTTAGAATTGCATTGCCGAAAAATTTCTTACGCACAATTTCCACGTTTTTGCAGCTGCTTAGTCATAAAATTAAATATTATAACTAAATATAATTTGTACTATGAGGATTTTTTCAACTTTAGGAATATTTCTGCAAAATTTTAAAGCTCAAAGTCAGAACGGTAAGTAGCAAGCTATTCTAAAACTCACTAGAATGACTTTTACTGGGAAATGTTGGCCGTGTCGTTAGATTTGAGGGCTGCCAACTTTCGCTTTGTTTGAGGTGTACTATAGAACACCAGTTACTCTTCTTTGTGGTCTATACTATATCTCTTTGAGAGGCCAATCTCGTATTTTCAAATTTCATTTATCCGGGCAGATGTTGAGAAGCCGCGGAAGTCCGTAGTGATGCTGAGGTATTTGCAAAACTCCGGACCGCAGATGTCTGCGGTGGGGATCCACCACGTCGTGCTAGTCCTCTCATCTAGTTTTCTACTTACCAATGCCATCAACATCAAAAGTCCGTACTGTTATGAAGGACACCGTTTGCTATTTAAATCAACTGGGGTTCTATGCCGCTCGTTAATGGATTAATAACTCTTAAATGTGGTAGATTATACCACACGAACTGAATTTAAACGCTGATCTTTTTTGTCATTAGTTTACATTTTTTAGATGCTACATTTCGTTTTAAATTTAATCATATTTATTTCGTTGTTTTCATACAATTTCCAAAAGCCAAAGATCAGGCTCTTGCCATTTTCATGAGCTCTGATTCAAACCTTAAATGTAATTTTATCGAGTTTGTTCGTGATTGAATAAATTCGAGGTCGTTATTAATATTGCCGTCTTTTATGCTTTCACTTATAAAAGTTGATTGTAGATACCTCGTTTTCTTTCTCAGCAATCGTGGGGTTGTTATTCAACACATATTTACTTCCTTACAAGAAGAACACACACAACACAACGGTAGCTGACATTTCGGCACTATCGTCTTCTTCAGCGCCTGGAAGCGTATAGTGGTCGTGACTAGGTCAAACTCTTCAACAACACAAACAGAAAAATGAAAATCTGAACGATAATTGCGCGACCAGCAGTTTCTCGAAAAACCCACTGTTTTTTATTTTCCTTCCACATAAGAACAACCGCGTAGTCGCATGTGGTTGATGACTGCACCACCCTCATCAAAAAGCAATTCTGACATATGGGGCTAGATCACCTGTTATCTCTGGGCACTCTCCTTACTTTTCATTCCTGGATTCTTAGCATTTATCTAGAAAGCCTCGAGAAGTTTGCGGGTTGGCGTTTCCGAATCCTGGGCGAGGATAGCAACTTTTATATCAAAGTCGTCTCCGCTATGCCTTTGTATCATATGCGTTCTTAGTGGCGTACTTTGTCTTACTTTTTGTTTACCATCCAGATGCTCTTTTATATGCATACATAATGGTCTCCCGTTTCGCCCGTACCCTTCCAGGCTCTGAGGCGATACTGCCGAAACGTCACCTACCATTGCGTTGTATGTTCTTCGCAAACGTATGCTGAGTAACAACCTCGCGATTGCTGAGAAAGAAAACGAATTATTAATAATCCAATGCCGAGGTTAATCGATCTTGGGAACTATTGATAGCAGAGTATTTTGAGCTTTTGTTCTACTGCACTTTACACTTTATGCAGACGAACACGTTTAGTTTGCGGAACTCGAGCACGACATCGCTCTTTCAGCAGAGAGAGTTCAGTCAATTATAGCAGGCCAGGGTTTATTGTTCACTCCTCTGAACGAAGGATCGGTACGTAGAAATTTTTCTTACTTGTGATACATGAACTATTAGCTTGATGTGGAAGTAGTTGCAGTTTTGGGCCATAAATTTAAAATAATTGTAACTAGGCCCAAACCTAACTTTATTAATTACAGTAACCATTAGAACCTACGGTTTTTTGCCAACAGTGGAAGCGTTTTATTCCGGTAACGTAATTTTTTGAATGTTGGGAAACAACGATTTCCTCAAAAACAGTTTTAACAATGGCTTGGTTTCTGACGCTCTTGCATTGGAACTAGTTGTCAGGGTTCTTAAAAAAGCGGTGTTCGCTTGGCAAGAGGCCTAATGCTTACGGCGGATGATTCGTATCCTAGGTCGTTCAATTTTTGCAATGGTAGTTGTGCAGGCATGTGCAGGATTCTGTCGATGTATGTTGTGTTCACCAAGATTCAAGACGTATCGTATGATTTCATCTGTCGTGGACGATAAAGTCATCATAGTTATCTTTTGATTCATTGTAAAATGTGAGCCGAATTGGCATGTTTTATGCATATTCCAGTACTTCTCACATTCTGTGCCTTTCTTCAAATCCGTCATCCGCAAGCCTCTTCGGATTCGCACGTGGATTCGACTATTGAAGGATTTTTCTTGATCTTTATTTTTTTCTTTAATCTTCCTAATCTTTAAAGATTGGAGGATTGGTTGATTCCTTAATGGATCTGAAGATTGATGCAAATTCGATTTTAGGAAGTCCTTTTGAGTTTCATCGCTGTCCAACTACTAGACTGCACGCCGTTGTTTTTCATACAGGAGCCACTTTTCTTCGTACGTTACAGCGCCGCCGAGAAACCCGACCTTTTATTGTTCAATATAAACGGTGGCCGGACTTCGTGACGGCGATCTCGTTGACATTTCTTCCCGTTACTACTTCATTCGGCCTACGACGGCCTTAATTGCGTTCTAATCCCTTTTGGAATTCCTACTCTGCTTTGTATAAGCTAGAACTTGAATAGCAGAATATATGGACTTCTTTGTCTTGAATGCATCATTCACATCAGTACTACAGTTGTTGTAAACCTAGTTTCAAATGAATCATTAGGGAAATTTTTTTTTAGCAAGAATTAAGTTTCAAGGGGTGACAGAAGCAATGTAAGAGGTTATCCTGAAGAAGTCTACCTGTAAATTTCATGATTATTCATTTCACTATTTTTGCATCAACTATTGCTTCCTTAACGTTTAACTGTTTTGATTATTTTATCTCACTTATTTCCCATTCTTGTGCTTTTTAGCGTAACAGTGGGGCTGTTTGGTTTTGCTCGAAAAACCTCGTGTTTTGCACTGCACTTTAAACTTTGTAATTAAGATATAATGCTGGGACTGAAATTTGCATGGCTGTCGAGTTCAGGGACCTCTAATTTTATCTCGCTTACGCAAATAGTGTAACTACCGTGATTGAAACAACAAATAACGAATAACGCTGATTTTTCGACCGTATTGGGTTGTTTCTCGATAGCTGGAGGACTTAAAGGACTTTTTTCTAACCCTATAGAGATATATGTATGTATATATGTATATATACGAATGTATATGCATATGTATGTATATGTACTTACTTGATACTTAATACCTGAACGGCCCCTCCGCACTGGTTGTGCAGGCCTCAGCATAGTCACCATTTTTCGGATATTTGATGGTTTAGCCATTATGTTTCCCTGGAGTCCCGAGATCAGCCTGGCCAAAGTCTCCTTCAGGTCGTCGTCACCATAGGTAGTCGCCGCCTTTGTGGATCAAAGAGAGATTTGCCACCACGTAACTAGTTTGATGCCACGACGGTGGTGGTTGCGGGAACTCATTTACGCTTAGTTAGGCTTCCTGATGGAAACGCCGGACTCCTTCTCAGCTTGGGATGACCTGCTAGGGGTGGATTTCCCAGCTGTACATCGCACTCCGAAACTCAGGAACACCTCTCAGCCACGATGAGGCGGTGAACCGTAGGGAGGATTTTATATATATGTATATATACATATGTGTGTATATATATGTATATATATATGTCGCTATTTACCAAGTTTCTATCATTATTTGGAACGATTTCAGAACTTATCTTCAGTGTGTTTCTAGATTTTTTATATCCACTGATTCTACAAGATAATCGTTACCCGTAACGACTGGAAATGAAAAGAAGACCGCGAATTATTGGTGAAAATTGACGCTTACATTCCGCATATAACGGATCACGCTATAATCCTGGTAACTAGAGAATTTGAGGTGTTGAAAAAGTCACAGTCTTGTGGAATAGGTTTTGTTTTAACCCACTATTGCAATATACTGTTCATCCTAAACTACAATCGTTTTGGGTTAATTTTGTTGATTTAGTTTTGCCCACTATACGCAAATTTACAGTGCTTTTCAAGCGTTACGTGTTAAATTCATTTTCAGATGTTATTTTTTGGTTTTTTATGGAAACGTTTTCATGACATTGTTTTCATTCATGAGGTTTGAGATTTTTTTCTTCAGTTTGTCGAAGAAGTTTTTTCCCGAAAGGGTCCTAAGTCTCATAATGGTTACCTTTTTGGTGCGAAAATTGGTGAAGGATCTTATGCGAAAGTTAAAGTATGTGTTTTATACTTGATGTTTATTGAAGTGCTGGTTCTTAGCATATTATTTTTCCTTTCCTTGTCAACCTTCCTTAATGTTCATCGTTGGTTCTTGAGGAGGCGGTTGACGAAACAACGCTAGTGCGAAGAGCGGTCAAGATCATCAAACACAGTCGCTTAAGGAAAATTCAGAACGGCCTGGAAAATGTGGAGAGGGAATTGCGGATTTTAAACAGAGTTAAGCACGAGAACGTAATTCGGTTAATTGAGGTGAGTCCTTCAGTAGAAACTGCAAAAGCATATCCTATCTTTTTCGGCTCGGTTAACATTGGTCTAATTATAGAATTGCGGTTACTACGGACTATATATGTATGTAACCATCGTGTCAGCAGTCTTCCTGCAGTACGTTTGATATTCCGAGGAATACAGTTACTAACGGCTCTTGTCCATCGGTTATCTTTCATAGGCATCACGTGTCCGGAACACCTTGTCTTTTATAGTTTTGCGTAGGGAACGGCATCTCTGATTTTGATCGTTGATGAACGTTGGAGATTCGGATTCTTTCCATTACTTCTGTGACACAGGTACTCCTAGTATCGTCCTTTGGGCATTCATCCTGCTTACGCAGCGGCCAGGCTTCTGATGCATACGTTAGAGCGGAAAGTATTGTCGAATCAAAAAGGTGAGAAGAGGGTCGGATGTTCGTTGTTCTGTTCACTACATCCTCGATGCTATTGAAAGCTCCCCAAGCCGCTCGATTCCTTCTTCTCAACTCTGGAGCTAAATCTTTCATTACGTTTATTTCGCGACCTAGATAGATATAACTGCTGTATTCGGAGACATTTACTCCGTTAAGCGTTAGTGGTACGTACGTAAACCACTTTTCGCTCAGAAGCATCACTTTTGTGATGTTTAGTCGAAGACCAATTTTTCCACATGCTTTAGCAAAGTGAGCAGTCATTTGTTCCGCTTGGCTAATGTTTGACGTTATAAGAACGATGCCATCAGCAAAGCTGAGATGTAATTGCCAACCATCGATTTCCACTCCCGTGTTATCCCATTCCAATGTTGACATGACGTTCTGGAGGGTGTCGGTAAACAATTTTGGCGAGATGGTATTACTTTTTCTAACCCCTTTTTTTGACGTTGATGGTAATGTCGTTGCAAAGTAGTGATTTTTTGGTTGTGAAAATTTTATATATTTCAAGAAGAATCTTTGCATAATGAGTAAGGACTCTCTGGCTGTCCAAAGCTTCCAAGACTGCTTCTATCTCAACTGAGTCAAAAGCCTTCTTTAAGTCGATGAAAGTGAGACAGTGTGGTGTTTTATACTCTTGCGGTACTGCAATTAGTCTTGTTATCGTGTGGATGTTGTCCATCGTTTTGAATCATTTTCGAAGCCCTGTTTGCTCACATCGCTGCTCTTCGTCCAATGTTCTGTCATTCCTGTTTAGTATGACTCGAGTGGGAAGTTTGTAGACGACAGGCACCAAGCAGATTTGGCGATAGTTACCGATATCATGGAATGGAGCTCACCTTTCTTAAACAAGAGCATGGTCTTGCTGGTTTTCCATTGAGTAGGGACCTTGCATTAAGACAGATAACGTGTGATGGGCCGAGCCAGTCTTTTTACAAGGAGTGGCGGAAGGTTCTTCAGATGGTCACATCTTGTCTTGTCCGAACCTAATATTGTTCGATTATTCATCAAAGAAGCAGCATGTCGGATTTCGCAACGAAGAACCGATGGTACAAAATATCCATCCTCTTTTTTTTTTTTAATATAACGGGACGTGGACGTGGCCATCGAAGAGATCTGAGTAATATTCGTGAATGATTTTCTGCATTGACTTTCTGGACGTTGTAGCTGTTTCATCTGGACATCAGGGTGCAGTCATCTTGATTTTGTAATTGCTGAAGCTTCGGCGGGGTTTGCGAATGCTTTTGCCAGCATTTGCAGCTTCGAGCACAACTGCTGCTCTTCTCTCTCTAAGATCTTTTATCGCCTATCAGCATTGTTTTGCAAGTTTGGACGCGAGTTGGTGGTTGCCTGGAGCTCATGCGATTCGAAGCTGGCGTATCAGCTCGAGTGTTTCTGGAGACAAACGTCTCTTGGTGACTTTCAAACTCTCAACTTTCGTAGCGCAAACGCGAAGATGTTGAATGAGCCGATACAGCCGACTAATGAGTTGAATGAGTCCCAGTTTATGGTGGTTCTGGAACTAAGGTTTTTGAATTTGGCGGGTTTTTCTGCCTTTCGCGAGAAATAAAATCTTGTATGAAGGAGACGGCAGTCTGATTCCGTGCAGAATTTTGGGACAACAGCGACATCAGTTAGGCAAAACCTTTTGTTTATTATGATGTGATCTACTTAGTTATGGTGCTCTCCAATGGGAGAATCCCACGTCCAGCGTTGAGGATGCGGCTTCTGGAATTACGAGTTACCATGGATGGTCTTGGTCGTCATGATGAACTCAGACAGCCGCCCACGCTGCTCGTTCTGTTCTGGTGCGTGGTTCCCAATATGGCGTTTCTCAGACGTTCCTCTGAGTCATTTCTTAGCGTCGAATTTTCCTATGATGAGAATGTATTGTATGGTCTTTGTAGAAGTTTTCTAAGTGCACGTAGAACACGTTGACTTCGTATTCGTCATAGTTTGATGTCGGCGCGCAAACGGCGAAGATTGTGAAATTTGGCACTTCACGTAACAATTCTCAGTACCAACTTTCTGTTAACCTCGGCATTGATTAGTAATTCGATGTTTTTCTTCAATAAGCAGACACAAGGTTGTTATAATAGAATTTATTAGGATACAATAGTTGACGTTTCGGCGGTTTCGCCTTCTTCAGAGCCTGGAAAGGTCAAATTGAGATGCGATCTACCCAGCCATACGCTTTCATAACCCTAGCAGATAAAACTTAACAAGTAAATTTGCATTCGCATAAAAAACAGCTTCATTTAAACATCTACCGTTTATTTGTTGTAAGTATTCAAGGTAGTTGGTGGATAGCAACTGCACAGAGTAATTACATGGGCGATAACTGTGTCTGTGTCAGGTCATTAGATTAGCCCGAGGTATGGCGCCAGGTCACGCGTGATGACAAGACACTTCTCCTTGCGGTTCATTTTGAATTTCCGGAATTGATCCAAAACGCTTCAAGAGTTTTGCGCGCTAATGGTTTCGATTCCTGCGTGAGGATAGTGACTCCTACTTCAAAATCTTCCCCGCTGTGTTCCTGCTTCCTATGTGCGGCTAGTGGTGTGTTTGGTTTTAATTTAGATTTACCGACTAGGTGTTCTTTTATGCGGACGCAGAGCGGTCTACCCATTTCGCCAACGTATTTGTCCCGCATGCTTTACAAGAGATCTGATAGACTGTACCCGAACTCATGCAATCACCGTCGCTACTGTTAGGGCAAATTACGCAGTTTTTCGTTATACATAGGCGGTCATATAGGAGGTTGTGAATTAGTTGGCGTCTTAGAGTGTTCTATGGTATTTCTATCACTCTTACGGAATTCTTTAGACCGGCCCTTATTAAGCAACGTTTTTTTGGCTACACTTATTTCGTTTGAAGTAAAGGGCAAGAGGAACGGAGCCTTGTTTTCGTTAGAATTATCGCTCTGGGGCGTGAATTTTCCTCTATGCCTATGCCGAGAAGCTACAGCTTCGTAACCATTTGAAATGGCTATTTGGCTCGCCAGTTTCGAGTATTCTTCCCTCTGCTCTCTAGCCGTGCACACGCTGGCAACATATATCCTATAAGCGCTCTAGGGTGTGGGGGGGTGAGAGGAGAGGTAGTGAACCACTATATTCTTACTGCTCGGCTTTCGATACCATTTTGTGGTGTAGCCGTTCTCGGATAGGTTAATTTGAAGGTTTAGAAATGGAAGTCAGTTTTCTTTCGGTTTCTTACGCGTGAATTTTATGGTCTCTGACTGTTCGTTCAATAACTCAAAGCATTTGTCCATCTCCTCATGAGTGGAGTAGATGACAAAACAATCATCTATATACTTACAGTGGAGTAATGGCCTGAGATCGATTACTAGTGCTTCCACTTTAGACATAAAATCAATGGCAAAGGTTGGTGCCAGTCGCTCTCCCATTGCCAACCCTCTAATTTGCGCGTAATATTTCCCGGACTATCTGAAGATCGAGCAGTGTAAACAGACCTTTAAGAGGACCATAAGTTGTTGAATCGAAAACCATACATGTTAAGCCCTTTGTCAATCCTCATATCTGTGGCTATCTCTGTATCTACTCTGTGCAGCTGCTATCCACCAACTAACTTAAATACTTGGAACAAACAAACGGCTCTTAAGAAGGCGAAAGCGCCGAAATGTCGGCTATTGTATCCTAATAAATTCTACAATAACAACCTCGTGTCTTCTTATTGAAGAAAAACATCGAATTGTGAAATCTGTTTCGATTCACGTCTCCTCACTCATAATGGTTCAATTTCGGTTGTTAGATTTTCGAATGGATAGGTCTCGTATAATACAATTTGCACAAACGAGAACGCACGCACACACGCATGCATGAATACGCCTCATAAATACAGAAAGTGTGCCTAATCGGCGAAGCAGAAACAGGAAGTCCATCTCCTGAATCTACGTGGAAATAGTCGCTTTTGGTCTGCGATCATCCCACTATCCAGCACATGTAGGTGCGCCGCGTTGTCTCACGACTAATCGCCAATAGATCAATCCTCTGTCTGGGAGATCCGTGATCACTAAGACTATTCTTTAATTTTCTTTCTAAGAAACAATTTTAATCTGGAAGATGCAAACAATAAATCGTTTTTATAATAATTATTTTCTATTTCTGATATCGGTATACATATTACAGGACCGACTTTGCTTTGACCTGGACACTGATCAATAGTTCAATGTTTTCTTGAGGAGTAAACGCGAGGTTGTTAGTACAACATTTATTCGTTCAGAATACCTGACGTTTTAGCAGTTTCGCCTTCTTCAGAGCCGGGGAGGGTCAAACTAACACGCAATCTACTCGGGCAAATACTTTCACATCCTCAAAATATAGAACTTAACACATAAATTTGCATTCGCATAATAAAGAGCTTTTTTCGAACACTCACCGTTTTGTTCTTTGTGAGCTCTACAGTTATTTGGTCGAGACCAGTCGCCCAGATTTTTAAGAGCAGAACTCATAGGTTAAGTACGCAGTGATGATCTAGCGTCTATCAGCCTCTTTGCCTTCATTGTTAGACCCGTCGTCAGTTGTGAGGCGGGCCTACGGATGGAGTAGTTTGGTTTATAAAGCCAGTTGTTATCCGCTTGATGAAACATCCAAGTTTATCTCACGATTGATAATTTGTTCGTGATACGGATACATTGCCCTCGCCTTAGCAGTACGTACTTAATGGAGTCTTTTGACGTTACGGCCCTTTATACCAACGTATCGAATAATTCCTCAATGCAAGCCATCCGCGAGCTCCTTGAGCAGCAGGAGGTACTAATATACATGTATCTCTTGTTGATTCAACAGTTCGTGAGCCTCGTAAAGGAGTAGCTAAAGTGCTCAATTTTTTGACGGATAGCAATGGTAGAACGCCTAGTACAAAGTCTCGCCATTGCCTTCATGTCTAAAGTGGAAACACCTGTAATGGGTATTCGGCCATTACTGTGGTGTAGATATACAGACAATTGTTCTATCATCTGCTTCACACAAGAGGAGACAAACATCTGTTTTGAGTTATTGAATGTACACACTACCTAATATTCACTCATGAGAAGCCGAAGGAAAACCGCCTTCCATTTCTGGACGATGAAATTATCCTATCCGAAAACGGCTACATCACCAAGTGGCACGGAAAGTGAAGCAGTAAAAATATCCTGGTTCGTTATTTCTCCCCTATCACCGCTTAAACACAAAAAGTGCGCTTGTGAGAGATGTTGCGAGAAGCCACGGGTGGCTGCATAGGAAGAGAGAAGGAGGAATCCAGGAAATTAGTTTGGCAAATGTCCATTTCCAATGTCTACTAAATGATGGCTCCTCGGGATAGACGTACAGAGGAAGACACGCCGCAAACGATAATTCTAGCGAGAAGAAGGTCTCGTTTATCCTGTCCTTATTTTCCAGTGAAATAATTGCGACTATAAAACGTTGCCTAAAAAGAGCCGGTCTAGAGGATTTGGTAATAGTGATTGAAATGCTCCCGAACACTTTCAGACGCTAGCTAGTTCGCAGTTGCCTTTGCATAATGTCTCCTAACGGTTGAGGTGATTGCATGAGTTCGTGCACAGTGGGAAAAAGTACATTGGAGAGACTGGAAGACCACTCTACACCCGTATTGAATACCTAGTCAGTAAACTTGAATTTAGACGAAATACCCCACCGACGCACTAGGACGCAGATATAACGGCGGTTTTGAAGTAAAAGTCAAATATTCCAAAAACTCAAAAGTGGGCGGCAAGAGGAGTGCCTTGTGATCACGCATGATCTGGCGGCGCACCTTAAGATGATTTTTTGATCTGAACCAGACACATTCCTCGTTTGGTAAGGCCCTGTGCCGCTATTCTTTACCAAACAGCTGGAAGATTTACAAAAAAGAGAAACAGTGAGTGTTTAAAAGAAGGTGTTTATTGTGCGAGTGAAATTCCATACTTTAAGTTTTATCTGCTGATGACATGAAAAATGTTTGGCTGAGTAGATTGCGTGTCAGTTTAACCCTTCAAACTCTGAAGAAGACGAAACCGTTACAATATCAGCTAATGTTATCAAGAAAATGATGTAATAACAACTTTGTGTTTGTTCGTCAAGGAAGCAGTGGATGTGCATTTTCTTTGTACGAGAAATTAATATGGATTCCACAGGACTACGTCAAAAATTTTGACTAGACCATGAAGCTCTTGACATCTCAACATTTATTAAGGCAAATCTCTTTCCATAAAATAAACAGGAGAAGAATATGTTGAGGTAGTTCAGGTATTTCGACGAGAGCAGAAGAACAAACTCTATGTTGTGATGGAATTTTGTATGGGTTCTGTGCAACAGCTTCTGGATACAGCACATGAAAACCGGTTATCCAATGATGAATGCCATCGGTATTTTGTTGATTTAATGAAAGGGTAAGTATTTTATTTCTCAGTAGTTATTTTGTGGAAAGAGGTTTTTCCTCAGTTGCTCATCGTTTGAAGTTCTGGTTAATTGGATAATTGGCAAGAACTCCTTAAAAAAATGTTTTTCGTCTCTTGCTATTAGTAATGCTATTAGCGATCATGTAGATCACGTGTAGCGCAATGGTTAGAGGGACTCTGGAGTACACTTCTGGTCATTGGTTCGGTCTCACGTACAGCAATCCTTAAGCCTTACACCCTGACGGGATCGACAAGTTGATATCAGACGTCTGAGAGGATAGTACCACTGACATAATGCATTGATAGGCCACCGCAAGTCATTGTTTAAGGCAAATATGCATACAATCACCTGTGATGTTGCCTGATAAAGTCGGAATTCATGGGAGAAATTGATCAACACCGAGAGCCCGACCCCATTTATGGGACACATATCACTAGAGTTAATTGAATAACTCAGTTTCTTAGTTTACACCGAGGTCTACTAGTTGGTTAATAAAGGAATGAAGCTCTCAGCATTTATCAGTTACTGAGTGGTGCGTAGTGCATTCGACTTCACCAAGCATCGTTAGAGTTAATAGAATGCATATCTGGCTCGCAGTTATCTACCGATGTATCGAGCCAGTGCTACTATCCTCTCAGACAAATCTAGTACCAATTTGCTGACCTCGGAGGGATAGAGGGCTTGGTGGGTTGGGGCTTTTGGATCGATCCCATGAATATTGCAGGGCGCCTTCGACCACTGCGCTCCACGAGCCCGTTATTGGGTTAACGTGAAATTAATGGCAGATTTTGCCGTAATGAAATTTTGAAATATATTTAGCAAGAAATAACGGTAGTTTCCTGAAATGTCATTGAAACTTGCTCGAAAACAACTTCTAAACGAATAACACATAGGTGCATCTCAATGTTTCGCACCTGGGATTTGTATCTTCATAGTGGTGGAAGTCAATTAAGTCAATTGCACGCATCAGCATTTGACTACAACCGCCTGAAGGCGGTAAACGAAACTGCTGCAGCAAGATATACTAAAAGATTATTGAAATACTTAAAATTCCGAATTTAAAAATCCCAAATTGAAGACGTTGTAAAGCCAAAAAAGAAGCGATCCTCATGAATGAGAAACAGTTATGGAGGTCGTCGTCGCGAATCTGTTCTTCTGTTTTTTGAACCACAAAAACGACCCATATTCTGTTCGCATTGTGACGTACAGTAGAAATTGGGTTCTGTACAACTGATGTTGTGCAGTTCATTTTTTGGACCGATTTGAACATCTTAAGGATTTTGCGTGCTTCTGATTTACAACAGAAGTAGTGATAATGACTCTTGGTTTTGGCAATGGGAATAATGTAATGTAGTTTTAATATTGGCGGAAAAATAGCACTAGGAAGCAAGTCCGCGAAATCTATGAATTGGTACAAAAACGCAGCATGAATAACCGGACATGGCCGGAAGAAATGGAACTATTATGCGCGGCAGCATTGAACTATATTCCACAACCACAAAGACCCATTGCGTTGGACCACCAAACCCTGCGTAATGCACCGTACTTATCGGGCTTCTGGTTGGCTAAGTATTACCTTCAAAATCACTTTCAGAGCTTCGGGATCCTCATCTTCTGGGAAGGGTAAAATTGCTTCTTGTTGAAAAAAAAGCTACATTCTAATGGTTCTTATTTTCGTGGACGGAATTTTGTTTTAACTAGTTAGAATGTTCAAAAATTTACGTTCCGAAACTAAACTAATATTTAAATAAAGTCAACAAGTTAGAAATTATTAAGGTGAAGCATATCTTTTGTGTTTTTTAAGTCTTCAAGTGCCCTAATTGTTGAAAAATTCTCGGAATTTATAGAAAAACAGCGCAGTCGTCAGTGGACTAGGTTGGTTCTGTCCTGTCACAGTTTTCTTTAAAAAACGATTTTCCAGACTTGAATATCTTCATTCTGTTGGAATAGTTCACAAGGATATAAAACCGGCAAATCTTCTTGTGTCGTTAGACTTCACTTTAAAAATATCCGATTTTGGAGTTGCTGAGGAGTTGCCGCTGTATCAGGTGTGTCTCCGAGTTATTTTAACCATGCTCGCGTTACGTATAGGGTTTGTCAATTGGAAAAGCATTATCCCTTTCAGAAAGACGATTTATGTCAGCTTGTTCAAGGGACTCCGAAATTTCAAGCTCCAGAGTTAGTGTCGGGAAATACAGAGTGCTACAGGTAACCAATTCTTTTTATTTTTAGAAACTAAATTGTGTCTTGATACAATTTCATTATCGTATTACGTTCTCAGTGGTTTTGCATCGGATATATGGTCATGTGGTGTGACGTTGTACAATATGATCTCAGGGTTGTACCCATTTGAAGGAGCAGTGAGTGTTATTTCTCCCAATAGAAGCTCAACGGTACTATAGGTTATTTTTGGTTGTTTTTTATTTTAGGTAATTATGCGTCTTTTTGATAACATTGCCCGCGCTGATTTGGTTATGCCAGTGAACGTCAAATTAGATGATAATTTAGTTGCGTGAGTTGCAGGTTTTTTTTTTCATTTCTAAGTAAGTATTGAGATATAGAGCAACGTCTTCCCAGCTCATGTTCTTGACAATGTTCATTTATCTTTACGAACCGCCCTTGTTGAGCTGATGCGAAGTTGGTATAAGTTGTCGTTGTTGTCGTTTTTGTTCGGTGGCTGTTTCAGCGATTTCGCCTTCCTTAGAGCCTGGACGCATTTTATGTAACAGTAGTCTTGCAATTCTGTGAAAAATCTGTAGCGTTAATGAAGATCTAACATGTAAGTAAACGCCATGTTGATCGAATTCTACTCACCGTGCTGTTGTGAGTGGAACTAGCGGTGTTGTTGACATGGGACGACGAGCGGTGAGCGTCCCATTCACAACAGCACGGTGAGTGACTTTTGAATAAATCAACATTTATTCATATGTTAAATCTTCGTTAATAACATAGCTTTTTCACTTATTGGGCGCTTGTTACAAATAACAATTCGAGGCTTTGAGGAAGACGAAGTCGCCGAAATGTCAGTCACCGAACAACAACAACAACTCATAGCAACCTCGCGTCAACCCAACAAAGGGAGCTCGTAAGAACATATATATATATATATATATATATATATATATATATATATATATATATATATATATATATATCGATTAACTATGCCGAGGTTTATAGAATTTCGGTTTTTCGAATTATGTTCATAAATATTTGAGGCAGCGCATGTAGCAAAGTGGTTAGAGGCGCTTTGAAATACATATGGGTCGATCTCGCATCCCAGACTCACCAAACTTTCCCTCACTCCGGCGTTGGCAAATTTGTACCAGACTTGTCTGGGAAGATAGCAACAATACTTCGCTATAACGGTGGGTCATCGCGAGGCACTGTATAGGCAAGATATGCATTCGATCAACTCTGACGATACTTGGTGATGCAGAATTTATGGCGCATCCTTCAGGAATTGATCAAATCCGAGAGCTCTATCCTTTTATCGAAATATTTGGCAGTGAATTCTAGCACCTTGCATTGTTTGCCATGTAGCATTCCTGAAGTCGGTCATCTTGAAACGGTTGAAAGATTTTTACTTTCGAAGTTCATTTTTTCGAAACCAAATCATCTTGACTTGCTGATTGGCGTTTTGGATAAACGGCAAATCTTGAAAATGCGCTGCTTTTCGTATTTTCCAGATATATGTTTCTTTTCAAATCAGATCTCTTCTCAAATGTGAGACGAAAATAAAACCATGTTGTAGACGTTATGGAGTTCCAGATTAGTGGGAGTAGAGAAATTTAACTCCAGCCTCATAATTCTAACTGGTTTATTTAATTACGTTGGAGCTTAAAGGCATGAAGTTGCTACATGGGAAAAATTATTTTTTTCCAGATTTCTGAGGAAGATGTCGAAGCGCTAGGGGAGGAAAACTTAATAGCAATCATGTGGTAGCTTGATAATTCAAGGCAATATTTCCAGATTGCTCAAAGGTCTGCTTACCAAGGATGCTAAGAAGAGGTTTACGATTGAATATGTGAAACGGAACAAATGGTACGCAAGGCCCCGGGTAAAGGCAAGTAATTATTTTTGTTGTATGATGTTGTAAATCGGAAAAATCTCCTGGCAGTAAAATCCGCTAATTTTAGGTGTCTTTTCCCCCGCAGTTATCCAGAGGTGGGCCTGTTCAACGTCCACTCACTGTTTATCCTGCGTTAGAAGAAAAATTCGGAGCAATACCCTCAGACCGAATTACCACCGTTGATGATCTCGGTGGTAAGTTATTTCGTGCCAAAAGATTCTTTCAGTGACTGGGTATTTCATCATGCTTTCTGTGTTCTATTTTCTCAAAAGATCGACTTTCTACAAACCAACATAAATAATCGATATATGTATATATGTTCTTACGAACTGTCCTTGTTGAGCTGACGCGAGGTTGGTATAAGTTGTCATTGTTGTTATTGCTGTTCTTAGATGGCTGACGTATCGGCGACTTCGCCTTCTTCAGAGCCAGGGCATATTTTGTGTAACTATAGCTTTATAATTCGGTGAGATATCTATAATACTAATGAGGATTTAACATATAAAGAACACCATTTTGTTTAGAAAGTAGTCACCGTTTTGTCGCGAGTGGGACCAATCGCGTGCTATTGACGTGGGATGACGAGTGACACCCACTTAGGTCAAAAAATCAGTTTAAAACAAGGCGCTCGGTTACATGTAATAGGTCTTTTTTCAAGAAGTCTAATGATGGACCGAAAAAACGAATGTCTCGCTATCGCACTTGACCCGGTGCCTTATTTCAAATTGGTTTTCTGATCTGGTTGAGTGTTACTCCTTATCTCACGTGATCAACACACGGTCCCACACTTAACAAAGCGGTAAGCAGTTCTAAATAAAATGTTTTTTTACTATAATACTGAGATATTTGCAAAGCTCCGGACCGCAGGCGTATGCGGTGGGGAACGAACGCACTCTATTGTCCTTACCGGGGATCCAATCACCCGTCAACGGGATTGATCTGTGGAGCCCAAATCGGCATTGAACCCAGTTAAGCTGAGGATATAGTTATACTCACAATCTTAACCTTTTTATTTACTGCCTATTCTTTTTAACGGCAGGGTATTTTGCGAAATATAACTATCGATAGAACTAGCTGAGAGACGAGCGAAACGAAGGACTCGCATGGTGAGGTGGTGAACGCGTTACTACCCGGAAAAGACGATAGCGCGTGAGTGTTGTAAATATCTCAGCATTATAGTAGTTATATTTTACAAAATATTCTACCGTTAAAAAGAATAAGCAGTAAATGAGAAGGTTAAGAATGTTTTTTATTTAAACGTTAGATCTTCACTGGTACTACAGATATTTTACCGATGTAAGGCTGTTGTTACAAAAATACATCCAGGTTGCGAAGAAGTCGAAGTCGTGAAACGTCGGCTATCGAACATCAGAAACAACAACAGCGACAATTTCTACCAACCTCGCTTTAGCTTAGCAAAGGCAGTCCGCGTTTATGTTGTATTATCGTCTTCATTAGTATTAGGTGTTTTATACAACACATTGGAATTTAAAACCGAGGTCTAAAAAGGGAAAACGTAGCTCTGTAAACATTTAGATAGGCGTTTATATTTGACTATATTGGTTAAGTGGTTTAATTTCGTAATAGGTGATAAATAGTAACCTCTTATCGGTCTACCGTGTAGTCGTGGCTGGGAGGTGTTCCTGTGTATCGGGTTGCGATGAACAGTGGGTGTTTCATCCCTCTAGCAGAGCCTCCCAAGTTGAGAAGAAGTGTGACGTTTTCATCCGGAAGCCCACCTATGAGTATACCAATACCTAGAATCATCATCATCCTGATATTAAACTAGTCGCATGGTAGCAAATCTCCCTCTGATCCACAAGAGTGGTGACTAACTGTGGGGGTGACGACTTGGAACACACTTTGCCCAGACTGATCTCGGGACTCCAGTGAATACAATGATTGGGCCAGCAAGACTCCAAAAAAAGTGGAAATTTTGCTGGATCCTGCACAACTAGTGAGGGCGGGACATTCAAGTATTAAGTATCAAGTAGTGTTATGTGGCATAACTAAACTTGGTAGTTTATTCATCAAGGGAAATAACCGGCATTATTGGCGCAAGTGAGCCTATATTTACTGCAAAATAGGGAAAGACGATAGTGACATGTCATTGTGTATCACTGTAGATCTTTAACCCAAACGTTATCGTACAGGAGGTGCAGCCATAAAAATAATTTCTTCCGACTGCGCAGGATCGAATCATTTCATATACAGCGAACAGCCAACGCTTGAGAATTTGACAGTCTCCTATTGGGTTTTTAGGTCTTGACGATCCTTTTAATAGGCGTATTTTTCATTTCAAGCGAAAAAATTTACTTATGATAGGGATTTGTTTTCGTATTGTTTCTTTTCGTATCATCTGTCACAGACTACACGTAGTAAACGCAAATGTTTCAGAAGCAGTCGTCGAGCGACGGCATCACAGCAGCGGTCCAATTTGCTTATCGTCGGTGCCTTCAGTGTTATTCGCCCCACCCGATCGTGATCTTCCTCAGCCTGATTCGGGAATCATTGGAGCTTCTCAGTCTTGTACTGGTAATCGCAGAGGTGTTTCGGCTGCTGATCCGCAGTCATTACACCAACAGCAACGCCCACCTCGAAAAAATCGCAGTTTGCTCAGTTGTATACTTCCGAATCGTTAGCGCTAATCGTTAGTGACCGTTTTAATGATTCTTTACTGTTGTATTTATTATGTTAATGACTCTGCGGACGAAACTGGTTTAACATTGTTTCCATATTTACATTGAGCAGCAGTGGGTGGCGTTAGGTTAAATATTGTTGCTTGATAACTTGGGAAGTTAGGAAACAGGTCAGATATAGATGGATGATCCTTATAGTCCTTTAATAGTTTGCTAGAGCTCACATTGTATCGATATAGAAAAGGTGGAATGCGGTTTCTCTACTTCGTAACAATAATTGGAAAGAGTTTCGAACCGTTACCAGTACTTGTACATTAAAGCTTACAAGTGTACAAGCTGTGTCAATAGCTTAGGTCTATGACGAAATCGTAACAGTTCCAGGTTCTTCTTTTTGCTGATTACTGGGAGCCAGTTCGTCAATGTTGTTTTTATTAAACAATATATGGATGAAAAAGTAACGTTTACTTGTAATAGTTCCCAGGATCGACTTTCTATTAACCTCGGCACTGGAATATGAATGTGTCGTTTTCTTGTTCAGCAATCGCGAGGTTCTTAAACAGCATACATTTACTTCCATAAAGAAAACAATACAATACAACGCCGACGTTTCGGCAGTATCGCCTTCTTCAGAGCCGCTTTTTTCCGTGACTTCCAATGACAATTAGTACGGTAAATATGGGTCTTTATTGTTATTACGGTCATCAGAACTCCGAAAAGGTACGTTATGTCCTTTATCGTCCAGTGGCGTAACTGATTTCGGTGATCGTCTCGCGGTCGATTAATCCTCTAGTGACAGCAGTGAGGT